TGATCTCTAGAAATTAATACACGACATAAATGGATTAACGGCAACTCGTTTGCATCAATCAAATCCATTAATGAGTGCTTGAAAAAATCTTAAGCTCAAGTCTTAAAACATAATTAAGCAAGACAATGAAGAAATGAGTGATTGAAAACTTTTATAGGCAGAATTAAATAGAGAGTGATAACTTTATTGTTTTGACATTGAATGGGCTCTTTAATCGACCTAATACCAAACATAGTAATACCAAATTTGGAAATAGAGAAAACGAGAGAATCGACGCAAGGGAATGATTCCAAAAGTAGAAATGTAGTAGATCTTGTTTACGATTCGCAAAATCGAAATCATATAATCATCATTCAAAAACCAAAATTAAACAAAGATTTGATTCCTCGATTCGAAATCGAAGACAGATCTAGTAAAAATCGAAAAGACAGATTACGAGTTTGTGCGTGAATCTAATCCAACAGCAAAATCCGGATTTGTCAAAAAAATCTCAAACATAAGCCTGTTAAATTAGAGTCACGCACAAAACATGTAATACGACTCTTCTAATGGTAATCGTCGCATCTTCTTTTCCTGAGAGAGACTTATTTCGCCGGCGTATAAGAAGAAGAAGAGAGAGAGAGCTTCCTTATCAGCGAGCGAGAGAGAGAGACCTAAATAATCTGTATCGTCAATAGTTTAACCAAGTGTCAATTTATGGATCACAGCATAAACGTTAAAGGGCCCATTTCAAGCTCACTCTTATTAATGGGCTTTAATCCAACTGTTATTTCTGCCTCTAGCCCAATAAGTATTAAATTATGAGACAACATCAAAAATAGTTTAAATACACTGCTGTTAATTAAATTACACTATCATATCTATAATCTAATATTACATATTAACGTAAATATTTTTGCTGAATAAAAAAGATTTAAACAGTAATTGATGTTTTGGTATTTTTATTTTTTTTTTAAAAACAAGTTTGAGCTTTTACTTGGTCCATACTTTTTTCTAAAAATTTACTATATGTTTTTGTATCATTTCATGGATCGTAATTTCTAAACTATTTCTTGGAATACATAACATTCGAATTTTATTCTGCTGATATGATCTTCTTAACTGTTTTAGTGTCCTTCTCATGCATATACCATTTTCTGGTAAAAACAACTATTATGGCATTAACAAATGAAAATTCGTAACAATTATATAGAAAAATAATTACTCGATCATACTTTCCGCAAAATTTAATAATTTTCTGGTTTAAAATATATAATAAAAAAAAATCTGAATTGGGATATATATGTGTTGGGTGGCCTATACGAATAGGGAGGATATAAGAACATGTGCATGCACGTTAAGCTAATATACATACAACGTGCTAACAAGCGATCAATTTCGACCACTAAACTCTCCATTATGGCTACTTATATCATATATACAAACCTATCTTAATTAGTTAGGTACTTTTCACGTTACCTTGAAACCCATATAATATACACATACATTGATCAATCATATGCGAATGTTAAGCTAATTCTCATTTAATCAATTTATCTAATCATCAATTATCAGAGACATATATATATGTCTAAGAGAATTTGTAAGTACAATGTTTCGTGTTGACGGCGATGGGATATACATTGAATCTATAGTCTCCGAGGATGTCTGATCAACATCGCTACACGAATCTGCTTTTCTTTTTCTTTTCTTCAAAATAAACAAACGACGTACGAGCAAAGAACATAATCTTTAAGATGCTTCAATCAAATTAAATCCACTCACAAAAATAAAAATCCTAAATACGAAGTCCACAAATTCAAAGGAACATAGAAGATCATTGCATGTTCTTGTGTCTTTTAAAATTAAGACCTTATCCCATTATCCAACATCGTTATCTACTTTGTCCAAAAAATTAAAACACTTAAAAACTACTCGGGAATGCTTTATATCATTAGTTTATCGTTAACTCTTATAATTAGTTGCGCCGGCGGCTTATATCAGCTGGAAATAATGAGATATATAACTATATAAGGACTTAATAAAAGCAAAAGCATTATGACAACCAAATAGTCATATATATTTATCATCTCTGTCGACAATGGTGATCAATTCAAACTAAATACATTGTAGCGAAACTCAAACACTAATATTGTATATTTTTAAATTAGTTTATGGATTAGACCAAATTTTGGGAGAAATATAAAATAAGATGAATTTTGATAGGTGTTCTGACTTTTGCAAACGCGGAAAAAAAAACTTATAATATGAATCTTTTCATTTTCATCTTATCAACCTATATCTATTGAAAATCGCTAGCTTCTTAATACACTGATTGCATGCTTGTGAATTAGATTAGACTATAACCTAGGAAGAAATATTATGGCATAAATATAATCACATTCTTCGTTGATAAACCCGGCTTTTTTCTCTTTAGTAAGTTTCAATCCGCCCGACTTTGGTAAACTCAGAAAAAATTGGCTGCGAGAGTAAAATAACATAAAATAAATAAAAAAATCGATAAAGCGCAACAAAGGAGGAATAAGACAGGGTGTTTAAGGTGATGTGAATGGGAAGAAAGTTGGTGTTTTTGAGCGTGTAGGAGAGTTGGGTAGTGATGATAATCATGTGAGTGCATGTGCATCGAGTTGTATTTTGATGACATGTCCTCTAACTTAAGCTAAACCCTAATTATCCATCAAAAACAACATTAAAAACACCCTTGTGGACACTTGTCCAATTCTCATCCAATTCTTTTGAGAGAGAAAAGGAGAACCTTCTCAGAAGCTGTAATCTCCATTTTAAGCTATATATAAAGGTCACTAACCTCTCTGTATGTCTATATAAACTATAATTAAGGGCGTCTCATATTTGCATGCATCACAATATATCATCTTTTAAAGAGTTGTTATCACTTGTCTATACAACATTCTTTCGTTTACAATAATATGGGAGTAACAACATTAGAAGGACAAAGAAAGGAATCAATTTGGGTTTTGATGAGACGACAAAGGGCTCGAAGGGCACTTGTGAAGAAGATCATGATCCGACCGAGGAAGAGTCTAGAAGCTTCTAGAAGACCTTGCCGCGCAATACACAGAAGAGTCAAGACGCTGAAAGAGCTTGTTCCCAACACCAAAACATCAGAAGGTTTGGATGGACTCTTTAGACAAACGGCAGATTATATTTTGGCTTTGGAAATGAAAGTGAGAGTTATGCAGACAATGGTTCAGGTTTTGACCGAAACTAACTGTGTTTAAAATCCTTCATATATTTTTTGTATATCTTAATTAATTGTTGGATTTTACGTGTTTTTAGTTTTTATTTGTTTGTGTTTATTTTCTATTATCTCGTGTGACTGTCGTGTGTTGCTATATAGAAAAGGAATTTGGTTTTATCTTGATGATGTAGACTTCGCAAGAAAAATATCGAAAAATATATATATCATATGCTTAGCTAAATGACAGATGACTGTTGTTTCGGGGAAAAAACATTTGAACAAACGAATTCATACATAGATAATCGTTCCATGGGAATAGTTTTTGTGTGCTACATCAACAAAGAACGAAGGGTCATTTTTTGAAAAAAGGAACAATACGGAACTATGTTGTAAACATGATATCAATAAAATTACGTTCAGTCAGTTGGAGAAAATACAAAAGTGGGAAGGAATAATAAGTGTCTTACCAATAAAGGGACAAAACACTGTGTTGAAAGAAGAATGTTTAACGTTGGGCTATGAAAGTGCGTGGGCCACGAATTCAAATTACCAAAGTTCGAGTCCATACAATGGAACCATCCAAATTCGAAGTTCAGGCTAATCTTCGAACTTGTGAAAGATTCAATATTCTATTCGTTTAAAAGTTCATAATTGCAAACTATAATTGGGAAATCACATGAAATTTAGTCTTGTAATCTCAAAATTAATCCTTAAACTCCTATAGTACGCATTATAACGATTATAACGATGTCATTTTAAATTTTCATTGTAATTCTTTCAAAATAATTGTTAAAACTGTGTTGTGCTAGCTTTTAAATCCTGCGGTTCGACTACTGTGGCTTTGTGATAATGATAGATAACAGATGCAAATGTTTGATGGCCACGTATATCATTTAGTCCTTTTATTTATTTGAGATGACACGAATTGGTTGAGATGAAATGGTCCGACATTTTATTATCTCGACGTTGATTTGGGGTTCAACAATACTATTAACATGGCACTACATGTTTATTTTTTATTCTTCATCTCCATGTAGAGACGACAAGTATAGTCTTGATTTGGGCTTGGTAAACGGGCTCATTTGATTACTCAAAAGAATTATGTTTTTTTTTTTTTGTCAAAGTTCAAAGAATTATGTTTTCTTAAATCATTTTCAATTCTTCCAAAACATAATTATGTGATATTTTGTTTGCTTACTTAATTTTTAAGTATATAGTTAATTCCTTATCAAAAAGAGTATATAGTTAGCTATAACATGTCATATGTTACATGTACACTAACTCATGACATTGTGGTTATTTTATTTCTTAAAAAGTTCTCGGTGATCCTTCATTAGTTCGTATATGTAATTCCTAGAAATTATGATTCTACCGACATTTAAATCCGAATACATCTATTAATTAAGATTCTCTTGCGACTTCGTTTCACTTACATGTAAAATATGATCTAAAAATTAGTTTAGCTATTGTCTATTTCTTACCTCCGGAATAGTAGTGAGGTAGGAATCGATATTTAGGAGGATAAGTGTTACCACACATTTACAAGGCTTGTCCCTTTTAAAATTCAAATTTGTTGAACCTTTTTATATTATAAGAAAAAAAAATCAACGTAAACTGGATCGTTGTCCAATGTGGTGTGTGTGGAGGAGATAGAAGACAAAAATTTATATGTGTAGAGATATTAGTGACTGATATAAATGACTATAAGTTAATGACTAGCTACCGTCAGACAGGATTTATATTAATCGGCATTATGTTTGATGCGGCGATTAATAAATAAAATAAGATCCCAAAATGCGTTTACTTTGACTTACCCATGTGCAAATACCAACGCAACGGTTATTATTTAACAATTTTGTTTTTAACTCTTGCACAACAAACATTTTAGTATTGCGAAAGAAATCTTAAGTGGGTCAACACATGCGATACGAGTTGCGTTGGAGTGTTTTTTTTTTTCAATTAAAATAACAAAAAGGCATTTAATTAGGGATTTGATTGCTACTTGTGAATTCACGAGACATAAGTATCCAAGAAAGAAGCAACGTGAATATTTATCCCTTGATTCATGCATTGTCAACTCCTCTACAAGGTTTTCTCTTGTTAGGGAACACATTTGGATCTATATATATATACATACACTCTCAATCTTTCTAAATGGTCCTAATTAATCACCTAACTCAACCAATTAAACGAATCCACATGCAATTCAAATGTTCTATGCATATGAGTAACAGAATAAGACGTACGTATATATGCTATATTTTTATATATCGTTCTCTTTGTTTTTTTTTTTCTTTTATATTTAGAAGATTTGACTACTGTATATGATATGTTATGTACTTATGTTATAGCATATCCCAATACTCTAAAATAATGTTATAGTATATGAGTACCGTCGCGGGATTACGTGATATAGTGGAAGATTGGTGACTCGGAACCCGGTGACTCGTGACCGGAGTGAAATTATTATTCTAAGTTCTAACAATTGATTATCCTGATTTCTCGCTTTAAAAATAGAAACAAATAATTTTGTTTCTCCTGTTTTTTTTTTAATCCACTACGTTTTTGAGATCCTAAACGTATCCAAGAAGCAAGCCTAGGGGCAGTCAAAATTTTAAAATATTTTTTCTTTATCGTTCGGTGATACGAATCTACCTTTTCTACCACCTATCTATGTTATTTTATATAATCTGATTCTACAACTGAACCATCAAAAGACCACTAATTTCATCCATATTATTGGGATAATTTAGCTAATACAAATTAATAATTACTAAATAACAATGAAAAAGAAAAGCAAGCAAAATAGTTGCTTATTCCTTGCTCGCGATCTAACGGCAGCAAGGAAGGAGGAGTAAACGAAAGATGACGCGTGGCCATTGGATTGGAGAAGGTGCCAGGTGGACACTTTAGTTAATGGGACCTACAAGCCGACAAAAAGAAGACACGTGTAAAATATTTTTTTCTAAAAACGTTCCCTAGTAGGAGTAACATACGCCACCATTGATGTCCCGTCCGCAACCCAACGCCAACACCGAGCCGCGCGTCTTTTGGCAGACCTTTGATTGAGACGCTTTTCTTTAATTATCTGTTTTATTTAAAACTCTTCCATTAACAAATTTCAACTAGGCAAAAAAAACAACCTAAATGTTTTGAGTTACTGCAATAATTCTAGAACTGATCCTATAATAGTCAGGTCCTGACTAGTAATATCTCTAACCGGAAATTGTCGAAAATCAAATTTATATAATGGGTTACTATATAAAAAGGGGGAAAACAAAATCATGGAAGCATGCAAAAGGAGAGCTAAGTTTGCAAGCAAATTATACGAGAGTGGGTCACCACTCAACTCTTGTACACCACACGTGCATGCTTCTTCTTCTTCTTCCTTTTGTTTTTTTTTTGGTTTTACAAAATAAAAACAAACTAATTAGTTTTTGCAAAGCCGAGGTAAACAAATTCAAAAAGGATAAAGCAAATTCCTATATAGCAAAATCGGTAAAAAAATAACAAAAAGAGAAATTCAAATCTTGACTTTGTTTAGCTTTAGCTTTTTTTCTTTAGTCATCGGGATCACCGCTGTTTATAAAAAGATACATGAGGCATGCAGGAGTTATATTAATCTGGGCCCTTTACTTTGATCTATTCCGATTTTCTTTGGGTCCACGGTTTTTTAAATAAATACTCCCTATAAATCTTAAATTATATTCAGCCTTCATCAATAATTGGTGTTACGAATGTATAAAAAACGCTCATCTTCACGTAACTAGAAATGTGTATTATCTATTATGTGACAAAGCGATTTCTTTGATTTAATACAATTCAACACTAGACAGTTTGTGATATGCAATCTGCAACGAATACATGTTCCAGACTGAACTACATATATATTCTCATAATCTTGCTATATGTTTCCACGTATTTCGATTTTTGCTACAAATATATACACTACATCTATTATCTATATATGTATTTATAACTAGAGTTTTACAAGTTTTCTGCGTACATTTGACAAATTTTCCTTACACAATTATTTAAAACTAATAGTATTAGTTCTTTCACAAGAAGCTGTAAGAAGAAGAATATTTTACCTGCGCTGCAGGCTTTTTATCAGATATTTTTCTTTGCATAATCTCACATTCCAAAAGACAAAAAGAAAATGTGAACACGGTCCATTAAATTCGGCCTTTTCTATATACATATATTAATACATCATATATGATACTAATATATCGTATTCTCCACCACTTTAAATTATAAAACGCCGAGATACATACGTGCTTCTTCCTGATCAAAAGGAGTGTCGATCACATTTTTCTTTTCTCTTTACAAATTTACTATTGATCCTTTGTCTAGTAAGTAGTAGTAACCCACCGAAACAATACTAAAAAATTTCATTTAAATTATATTTGGTCACGGACAACGGTCTCACCGCCCACACATGTCTCATGGCTTGAGCCTATCTATTATGACTACAGAATACATATTGAAACAATTAAAGAAACAATAAGGACAAGTTTTTAGTGTTTTCTAAAGAACCAGTTTTTGTGTTCACATTAATAAAAACTAAAAAGAGGATTCCCGCCATGCACACGAACCAACACCAAGAGCCTTTTTTAACGTATTTATTTGAGGCAACAAGTATTTATTTTTGTTCTTATTTCACACTAGCTCTAAAAACCGGTTAACAATTGAACCAGTCAAAACCGGACGTATGAAAGCGTTTACTGTCTTCTCTGACTTACGCGTTGACCAATGACTAGAGTATTTTGAAAAACCTTCGTGTGATATTAACCGGTTACTGTAACTATCCGTACAGTATACTAACCTGCTATTGCCGGTCAATAAAAAAAATCCATGAGCACCATTTATTTAACACAGTGTGACAAATATCAAATCCTTGAGTCATTATTATCTCTTTCCTCTCTCACGCCAAAAATTTCATCTTCTCTCTCTATCTCTCCTCTTGGAACCCTAAAAACACAAGGATCGATCTTTTGTATTTTTGATTTTGTCATTGGCTTTGTGTTCGATCTCTGTTTTGATGCGATTTCTCTGTTTTTAACGGCGTTTGATTGATTCTTTTCCGGCAAAGCTGAGTGAGTGAGAGAGAAGAAGAAGAACAATGGAGTTTACAGATTTCTCAAAGACGAGTTTCTATTACCCGTCGTCGCAAAGCGTTTGGGATCTCGGAGATTTAGCGGCGGCTGAGAGGAATTCTTTAGGGTTTATGGAGTTATTGGGTTCTCAGCATCATGACTTTGCTACTGTTTCTCCTCATTCCTCCCTTCTCGAAACGCCTCAACAGCAAACGCAACCATCGGCGAAGCTGTCTTCAAGTATCCTTCAAGCTCCACCGTCAGAGCAATTAGTGACGTCAAAGGTGGAGCCTTTGTGTTCGGATCATTTGTTGGCAAACCCACCGGCGACTCCTAACTCGTCATCGATTTCGTCTGCTTCAAGCGAGGCTCTAAATGAAGAGAAACCGAAACGAGAAGGCAACGAAGAAGAGAAGAGTCATACTAAGAAACAGTGAGATTCATTCATTCTATCTTCTTATAATTTCTCACTTTTTTTTCAAGTAGAGAAGCTGTTCGATGAAAAGACTGAGAGAGAAAAAGAAAAAAAAGAAAAAGGTGGTATCCTAAAGAAAGCATTTTTAATGTTTTGGCGTAAGAACAGGTTAAAACCAAAGAAGAATAATCAGAAGAGACAGAGAGAGGCAAGAGTCGCATTCATGACAAAGAGTGAGGTTGATCATCTCGAAGATGGTTATCGCTGGAGAAAATATGGTCAAAAAGCTGTCAAAAACAGTCCTTTTCCCAGGTATCAAACATATCACCAGAAAATGTCTGTTTTCCTTGTTGTTTCTTCTTTTTGATTTCCTCTTGGGACATGCATTATGTTAATTTGTTGGATCTAGTGTCCCATTGTTTCTTAATGTTTGTGTGTTAGTGTTTACTAGTAATTAAAATCACTGTTTACAATTTCCGAAGAAAGACTCAAATTTAATTTGATTTTGTGTAATGGTGTTTCTCGTTTGCAGGAGTTACTACCGTTGCACAACGGCTTCATGTAACGTGAAGAAGAGAGTGGAGAGATCGTTTAGAGATCCAAGCACTGTGGTTACAACCTACGAAGGTCAACACACACACATTAGTCCACTCACGTCTCGTCCTATTTCAACTGGAGGCTTCTTCGGATCATCAGGAGCTGCTTCGAATCTCGGTAATGGCTGCTTTGGGTTTCCTATTGATGGCTCTACGTTAATCACTCCTCAGTTCCAACAGCTTGTCCATTACCACCAACAACAACAACAACAACAACAACAAGAACTCATGTCTTGTTTTGGAGGAGTCGGTGAGTACCTTAATAGCCACGCAAATGAGTATGATGATGATCATCGTGTGAAGAAGAGTCAAGTTTTGGTTAAAGATAATGGACTTCTTCAAGATGTTGTTCCGTCTCATATGTTGAAGGAAGAGTAGTATATAGTCTTCTTATATAGTATTTAATCTAGTTTTTTTCTTTTCTTGTTGTATAATTGTCTAAAAGAAACGGTTCTTTTGTCCTCGTGAAGATGTTTTCTTGTGGTTCTAAAATCGTTAGGTAATGAATGTATCAAGCCGAGAAAGTACTTATGATTTTTCACCATGGAATCAATAGGAAAGTAATTCTAATTTATATTATAACACAGAAATGCACTAGTTTTTATATAATGTGTGTACTGGTTAACATGATTTTTGTAAATAGTATGATTGGTAAGATCTTCTTAATCGCATAATAGTTTGTCGTTTTGTAAATTACTGATCGTAGTCTAATATAACAATGGTCGTTTTTAAAAATTTGTTATGGGCTTTGAATTGAACACTATATTCATAGCTAGGCTTTGTAGTTTGTGTTTTTTTTTTTAATCGAAAACTTATTTGATCTACGGTTCTAATGTGCTATAGCCTTCTAGGGTTTCAGGTTACTCTATTTCTACTCAAAGATCAGTTAATGGTTTTTTTTTTTGCTTCGCTTCAATATATGTCTTGTAATCTGGAAAAATTAACTAGTTTCATAGTAATCAACAAGATTAATTAAGCGAGATAACTAAAGAGGAAATTAATGCGAAATTGGAAGCATAAACCCAACTACTCCTACCTACTCTTCTCTATGTTAAAAGTTCATGATTTCTCTTATTTTATTTACCCCTTTTGTTCTTCTTGCTGTTTCATGATTACACTGCGGTGAAGAATAAGACGTATGCACTGTGTTATTGTCGTTATCTATTTTCATTTATTTTTTTAAACTTCGAAAACAGAAGAGAAAAATTTGTCACCCTCTTCACTATTACTTGGTATGATGTGATGAAGACTCGATAGTCTTCTGGTTAATTAAAAGGTGTTTAAGTTTATATTTTTGTAACAAATACTATTTGATGGGATTTTGTTTTCCCGCAACCATACTATTTGATGAGATTGTATTGTTTTATCCTTTTGCCTAGCTCCTCTCAAGGCAAGAAGATAAACGACAGTCAAGACTGATTATTTTTCTTTCATATGCGTTTAGATATCAAACATCATATATAAATTGTAAGCTTCAAAATTATTGTTTGTTTGTTTGGAAAATATATTTTAAAATAAAATGTAAAACTTAGCATACACTAATGCTAATGCAATTTCCTTCTTTTTGTTGCAAACAAATTAAATCTTGAATCTAATGCTTGGCAACAATTTGGGTTATCTTTTCTAAAAAGGTTTTGGTTAAAATGGTTGTGAAACAGAGCAATAACAATCAAAGTTTGTGTCATCCCCAAAGTGCATAGACTTGTGGGAAGAAAATGGTAAAATCAAACATATAAAGAAATAATTAACCAAAAAGAAAAAAGTAGAGAAACAAGTTACCATGCAAATAAACTTTTTTTTTTTCCTTTTTCTATTTGTTACTTTTGTAGCCATGTGTGCGTGTGAGAAAATGTTCTCTACATAACAGAACAAGGAAGCAAAAAAACAATCTTATGAGGTAATATCACTTTTTGTCCTTTTGTCTAGTGAGTGCATAGCAACGCCATTGGCTTTAGTATGTTTGTATTGACCTTTACGGTGAGTGATAATCCCAAACCGAAGAAGGTACATAATCATTGTCCAAACAAAGCCACGAATGCAACCGAAAGCAAACGTACCAAAACTCTCGATGGCATAAAAGTAAATGACTAAAAGACAAAACCTGTCCGCAATGTGGTGGGCGAGTGGTAAGGTGAGTCCGGCGTTGAGGGTGAAATCCCTGAACCCGGGTTCGATCTTCCTCCCTCGCTGTTATCATCACTTTGTTGGGAAGTCTGGGCTTGGGCTTCGGCCCAAACAGTTTACATGGTAGTCTGGTAACAGGCTATCCAGCTACCCCCGGACATTAGTCGGAAAGCATTCCAAACTAGGATCAGGCAGTGTGGTAGCCCATCCCTCGGAGTGGTAGTGAGTCCACTCTGTAGCACTCCGGTGCGTTTCTACCGAGGCTGACCGGATCAGCCGATCGGGTATATAAAAAAAAAAAAAAAAAGACAAAACCTAAGAGACCCATTGTTTCAAAGAAAACAACTAACAATTTTGCTCATCGGTGTGACAATATTGGTTTTTAGAATTCTTCAAGTATACTCCACTTTCAATACACATTTGTTGGATCCAAAAGACTCTCAAGCCGTAACAATAGCATTGTCCATTGACATGAAAATAAATCAAATGATTTGATTTGAAGAGTAAAGACTAAAGAGTAAATCAACATGGGCCAAGCCAAATTAAAAAAAAAAACATAACGGGCCTTGGTGGTCGTAAAGAAACTAGGGGTTAAATAATAAATTAGATGAAATATATGGTTTGCGGTAGAATCCTGGCGCCACAAACCCTAGCAGCTTTCTTTTCGTTTTTCCGCTGATATTCGTTGGTCTCTCAATTCGTAATCGTAATGGGTACTGAGAGAAAGCGCAAGGTTAGTTTATTCGATGTAATGGAAGATCCTTCTCTTTCGTCGAAGAACACCAAATCCAATGGTCTCGGAGTTGCGGCGGCGGCTGGTGGTGGAAGCAATCTGATCAACAAATGGAACGGAAAGGCTTATTCTCAGAGGTATTTTGAGATTCTGGAGAAGAGAAGAGATCTTCCTGTTTGGCTCCAGAAAGATGAGTTTCTCAATACTTTGAAATCTAATCAGACTCTCATCCTCGTCGGTGAAACTGGTAGTGGTAAAACTACACAGGTGGGTGAAGCTTTCAATTTCTCAATTATTGATCTCGATTTGGAATCAGTGTTTAACTGTAAAAAGGCTCTTGTATTGTACAGATTCCACAGTTTGTATTAGATGCTGTGGTGGCTGACAAATCCGATAAGGGAAAGAAATGGTTGGTTGGATGTACCCAGCCTCGTCGAGTTGCTGCAATGTCTGTGTCTCGTCGTGTTGCTGATGAAATGGATGTCACCATTGGAGAAGAAGTTGGTTATAGCATTCGTTTTGAGGATTGTACTAGCTCTCGTACTATGCTTAAGTCAGTGTTTTTTTTTCTATGGCTTCTCATCTTATAATGTTTAAAGTTGTGATCTAATCGTAGCCTTTCTCTCTTATTATTACAGGTATTTGACTGATGGTATGCTTTTGAGAGAGGCAATGGCTGATCCGCTTTTAGAGAGATACAAAGTTATTATTCTCGATGAAGCTCATGAAAGGACTCTAGCCACGGATGTGCTCTTTGGTCTTCTCAAAGAGGTCTTGAGGAATAGACCTGACCTTAAGCTTGTTGTCATGAGTGCAACCTTAGAAGCCGAAAAGTTTCAGCAGTATTTTAGCGGTGCTCCTCTTATGAAAGTCCCTGGTAGGCTTCATCCTGTTGAGATCTTTTATACACAGGAACCTGAGAGGGACTATCTTGAGGCTGCTATTAGGACTGTTGTTCAGATACACATGTGCGAGCCACCTGGAGATATTCTTGTTTTCTTAACTGGGGAGGAGGAGATAGAAGATGCTTGCCGTAAAATCAATAAAGAGGTCAGTAATCTTGGAGATCAAGTGGGTCCTGTCAAAGTTGTGCCTTTGTATTCTACTCTTCCACCTGCGATGCAGCAGAAGATTTTCGACCCTGCTCCAGAGCCCTTAACAGAAGGTGGTCCTGCTGGACGAAAGATTGTCGTCTCAACCAACATTGCTGAAACGTCTCTTACAATTGATGGGATTGTTTATGTTATTGACCCTGGTTTTGCTAAGCAGAAAGTCTACAACCCACGGATTCGTGTTGAGTCATTGTTGGTGTCCCCAATATCAAAGGCAAGTGCTCACCAGAGATCAGGTCGTGCTGGTAGAACTCGGCCTGGAAAATGTTTTAGGCTCTACACAGAGAAGAGTTTCAACAATGATCTGCAGCCACAGACATATCCTGAGATTTTGAGATCAAACCTTGCAAATACAGTCCTGACATTGAAAAAGCTTGGTATTGATGATTTGGTGCACTTTGATTTCATGGATCCTCCTGCTCCTGAGACACTGATGCGGGCATTAGAGGTTTTGAATTATTTGGGAGCACTGGATGATGAAGGTAACTTGACGAAGACAGGTGAAATAATGAGTGAATTTCCCTTGGATCCACAAATGTCAAAGATGCTCATAGTCAGTCCTGAATTCAACTGTTCGAACGAGATTCTCTCGGTTTCTGCAATGTTATCAGGTACGTCTTCTGCTCCTATTAGTTTGTTTTGCCTTCTCCAAAGTTTATTGTAGATGTCTGTGTCTTTGAGCGTACTAGTCATATCCATTTACGGCAATAAGTCTCTGTGTATGAGAACGCATCTACAAGCATGTCATATACATGAACATCTACTGCATACAAGCATCCCATGTGTCTTCTTGAAATTCATTAGTGTGTGTGTGTGTGTTTGCCATTAGATTTTAATCTTAGAGTTAGGTTGTCATAAGAAGCTCACTAGTTTGGATTCTCCATGTCTCATAGTTGAGGATTTCTAAGTAAAACCTGATGCATCTAGTTGCAGTTTCTCAGTATTCTCTCAAGCAAATGGTATCGTCTCTCGCCTCTATGCATCTGCTGACCTCTTCCATGGGCATATTCTGTTATAAAAACAATTCTTTCTCTAGTACCGAATTGCTTTGTCCGGCCTAGAGAGGCTCAAAAAGCAGCAGATGAAGCTAAAGCTAGGTTTGGACACATTGATGGAGATCACCTCACGTTGCTAAACGTGTACCACGCCTATAAGCAAAACAGTGAGTAATCTTTTTATCTATCTGCACTTTTCTCTTATAGCTGCTTAAGACAAATGAATTTACCTCACCAAACCTGCTCACTTGAAATTCTCATAGATGAAGACCCAAACTGGTGTTTCGAGAACTTTGTCAACAACAGAGCAATGAAGTCTGCAGACAATGTTAGACAGCAACTAGTGCGGATAATGTCGAGGTTTAATCTAAAGATGTGCAGCACGGATTTCAACAGCCGCGACTACTATGTCAACATAAGAAAGGCCATGCTTGCTGGTTATTTCATGCAGGTGGCTCACCTAGAACGCACTGGCCATTACTTGACCGTCAAAGATAACCAAGTATGTCTTGTTTTTGCATCCTGTTACAGATTTTGATTTCCCCATTATAGAGAGACTCCTTATAGCTCACATCTGACGGGTTGTCTGTAAATTCTGGTGGCAGGTGGTTCACTTGCATCCATCTAATTGCCTGGATCACAAACCAGAGTGGGTGATTTACAATGAATATGTCTTGACTACTCGGAATTTCATACGCACTGTTACAGATATCCGCGGTGAATGGTTAGTTTCCATCTCTTGTTCCTGTTATCTCTTGTCTATAAACATCCGATCAATTAAAAATATCTGTAAGAAACGACTATCTTTGCTTGTGTACAGGTTAGTAGATGTTGCTCCGCATTACTATGATCTTTCCAACTTCCCCAACTGTGAAGCAAAACGAGTCCTCGAGAAACTTTACAAGAAAAGAGAGAGGGAAAAGGATGGGAGCAAGAACCGAAAGTGAAGAGAATCACTATTCTCTCTTTGCTTCGACTAGAGGATCAAATCACTCAGAGAAGATTGTCTTAGTCACAAGACCACTGTGCTTTACCCTCGTGTTAAATTATGTTGAATACTTTGCTTTGTTTATGTTCAATGAAAGAATCTTGCATTACCCAAAGTGTGTTCTTTTAAAACCTCTATGACTTTGAAGTGTATTACAAAAGCTCTGTTTCGCATCTCTATAAATATATAACACTGTTTCTGATAATCTAAGTATGAGCTTCAATCCAGCATAACTGTTATTAAAAGATAAAGAGTGAGTGCTAAACGGTGACGTCTTCGATATGGGGGGCATATATGGTAATTCAAGAAACTGATGGGTGAAAGAGAAAATTGGAGGCTAAATTGTTACTTGCAGCTGAATCAATTCCGTTGTCAAGCAAAGGTCAGTTGTTTGTACATGGACAATGAAGGTGGAAGATTTGAGATTTCATCAGGACCTTATTGTTTAAGCAACCCCAACATGAAAGGGATAAGATTTAAATACTATTGGCTTAAGATATATAGGGATATGATTTCCCAGTTATAATTATTATTATTACTCGATGATGTTAATCTATACACAATTTTGAGAGTGTTTAGTACCAAGAGATTTCTCATATTATTTCCATTATTAATTCTCTATATTGTGATACATATTTATCTAGGATTATCCTTTCTAGAGTTTTCCATTAAAACCCAATCAGTATGTTCCAGAATGTTGGAGCAAATTGTTAACGGGACAATTTTTACCTTTACTTTTGGCAAGACAAATTGGCTAGGTAAATATATCTCCATTTTCTAGAATAAGCTTAGATCATCAATTCAAGTTCAGGCAAATTTCCAAAAAAAGTTTGGGCACTTTTTTTCCTTTTTTTTTTTTTTTTTTGTTTTTGTTTTCTAGAAGAAAAAGTCTGGAGCTTTTATGTATATATAAATACAAACCAAAACTTAGCCTATAGTCATATGTCTTCATAACTAAAATCCATTGTCTTCTAACTTTGCTCTAGTCTAGACTTTTGAATCTTTTCCTCTTCTTTTTGGTTCGGTGATAATGTCGAGTAAAGGAGGAGGTCCAGGGATCGGTATCGATCTTGGTACTACAAATTCTTGCGTGGGTGAGATCATGATCCCTAATGATCAAGGTAACCAAACCTGTTTTTTTCCTTTGATCTTGTTTTTAATTAGCTTATCCTTTTTGGGATTAAATTCTCTATGTGCGTGTTTTTTTTGGTAATTGTGGCAGATGCAAAGAAACAGAAAGATGATGAAGAAGCTAAGCAACTATTAGTAGATATGATAGTGAATGAGACACTTAGGAATACAAATTTCATGCAAAACTTAAGGAAAACTAAAGTAGATACTGTATGGGACGAAAAAAGAAAACAAGAAAAAGAGATGAGATGAAGAAAAAAAGAGAGGAGCAGCAGAAGAATAAACAAGATAAGGCCATGGGAAAGAAGAATAAAAAATAATTGGTTTAGCCTAATTGTAATGGCTTAATGGATTACTGGTTTATGGTTTTTATAAATCCAGTGTTATTTGGTTCTTAATTTTAAAATTCATATCGAAATTTATAGATACTAAATAAAAATTATGTGTTTTTCAATCTTACCACAATTACTAACTTAATTTGGCGAGTGTTGGAGAGGTCGTTTCCTTTCTTAATTAAATTATCTTGTGTAAATTGTGTTTCATCTTTATCATTTGACGAAATCTTCAACCGATGCTAGCTTTGGCCAAAGTTGATAAGACTTTATACTATTGGCTTCTGAAAGATGTCACGTAGATCGTCAAAAAAAAAGAAGAAAGATGTTCACTTAGAAGTTGAAAACATTTTAAAAGCATGGTGTCTAAACTTCACTCTCCAGCTGCACCTACAACCGCTTGAATCAATCACTGTCAGATTCCTCATCCTCCTCCGCGGCTAAGTTTCCAAAACACAAAACATGTGAGTTATACAACAACAACAACAAAACATGGCATATAAATGAGCAAACTACAGTTAGATAAACGAGTACTGACTGACCTGATAGTGGTTCAACGTCAACTTTGTTGCAATACATGACGTAGATAGCGTTTTCCATCGGATCCAAGCTGGAATACTGGTGGAGTTTCCACCTGTTGTCTTCCTTGGGAGAAGGCTTGAGAACGGAATGCCTGACTCCACCATAGACCTTGCTACGATCTTCAACCCATTTGAAACCAGAAGCTCTTCAACCCATTTGAAACCAGAAGCTGCAGGAATCTGAGACGATCCAATGAACAACCACTGGCGAAAGTCTTCCCAATCGAAAAGGTGAGACACAAGAGTTATCTCTATGTATATAATTACAACATGATATCATATAAGATAAGAAACTCAAGAGTGATAGAAACAATACTTGAGAGCCAGGGAGGGTTTTGAAACACTTGACGAGAGAGTCGAGGAACTCCGCTCTCCTTTCCAGCCTTGATCAAGTTGAAAATCTTGTTAGCAATGAGGGCGAATTCACTGGTTGAAGTATACACGGTCGACAGCAAAAACGGGTCTGTGGATTGTGCATCGGAAGTGGCCATCTGTTCGCAGCTCACATGGCAATACTCTAAAGGTCGTAGAGGGAGACGTCTACAGTCCCATCTCACACATTGATCTTTGTGTCTGCTAGTGAGGATGATCTGACGATTATTGGGATCCATGATTTTCTTACCTGAGAAGCTAATAGAGACAATTCTTAGTGTCAGTACCAATAAGAAGACAATACAGGTTGAACAAGAAACACAATAATCACTACAACTAAGAAGAAAGAAGTGAGCAAAAATAATCAGAGTGAAATAATGGAAGACCTAAGCAGCATCATAATCAACAGATCATTGTTGAAAATCTAAGCTACTTGAGAACAATCAGAGTGAAATTTCACAATAATCACTAGAGTGGTTCGACGAACAAGTGACCAAATAATCAGACAAGAGAGAAACCTACGCGACCTAAAGAATGAAGCAACCTACGCGATTCGAAACTTGAAATCGAAGAATGCAGAGAAACCCTAACCTTTATTAGCACCGGAGAAATCTTCTAGAGTAGAGTCGAGATCAGTTCTTCACTCTTTCGCTTTCCATTTTTCCCTACGAAGGAATTTTGGTCATCAATGGAATGTTCCAGAAAGAGAGAGACCTTTCTCTATCACTTTGCTTTCATTTTATGTTATAAGCCCAAATATCTAAAACTGGCCCTTTTTGTCGTTGATGATATACAGCAATTTGCTTTACTTCTTACTTAAGTTCTCAAAAAGGTAAATATTATTATTTAAAAAAAAATGTTTGTAATCTCAACTTTACGATAATTAATTAACATTGTTTAATAAGGTACTATTGATTATTTGAAGTAAAATTGATTTTTTTCAAAGTGAGGTTTTAAACTTAATCAATTCGTGATCTCATACCTTGTTTTTTCCACTTCATTTTAATATGATTTACCCACCTATAATAAGCTGCTACATTGATTCTACTACTTCTAAATTATAAAATTATCCAAAAATGTACAGACTAGAGTTACATTAAAAAAAAAAAAACTAGTAATAATTATGATGTAAATGGTCATATATGTAACATAAAGTAAAATATTACACAAGTACAAGGTTCATTTTTTTTATCAACTATCGTTATACATAACATAATCATTGTTTATTAATAGCACACATGATATATATTATGATCACAAACAACACTCTCAGCTTCTCTTTGCCGCCAATTTTCGGTACATTTCGTCGATTGATACCTGTATAGTGGAACGTTAACGTATTGAATAATTGCAAACATTTAGATTCAGCAGTAACCAATCTATAGAGATTAAAGTGTAATTAAGATTAGGATAATCAAAAAAAAAAAAAAAAAAAAAAAGATTAGGATAATCGAAACCTGATAATACTTGAGAAGATTGGTCCTCCTATTTTTCAAGGTCGCAGTCACCAAGTCTCTCTCTACATCAAAAGGTTTTGTCTCCACCGTCACAGCTTTTATGTACTCAAACCTGCTTAGCTATTTTTTTTTTCACATCGACAAAATAATTTCTTTATGTGATGTAATTCTTTAGAATAAATTTTGATTTCAGAAAAAAATCACACAAACCTTGCTCTTCTCTGCCGTGGACTTCAGTTCTGAAATGATGTGTTCTTTAAGCTCCGGGAGAGAACAGAGTTCTTCGAATGGTTTAGTAAAACCGAGATCTTTAGCCCACCGGTTTAGGGTTTCTGGATTGGGAACAATCACCGCCACAAGCATAGATTTGAAGCTGTCTCCATAAACCCATATCTGAGAAGAAAAATATGACCAAAAAATAATAATAATCAGACTACGGATTTTAAGATAATTGAAGAAAACCTTGAAGCGATTGCTTTCTGGACAAGAAACAGTTGAAAACCTCACATCTTGGACAATAGGGTTTTGTCCGTAGATGCTTTCCAAATGTTCAAGAGCAACATATTCTCCTTGAGAGAGTTTGATCAGGTTCTTCTTACGATCGATGATCTTAAGTAATCCGTTTGGAAGAATCTCACCTATGTCTCCTGTTGAAAAACACCAATAACAATTCAAAAACAAGAATCTAAACAATTGAAATCTCATATTTGTTTGAATCAATCACCTGTATGGAACCATCCGTCTTTCATGACTTCTTCAGTGAGTTCAGGGTTCTTGTAATACCCAGAAAACAGACATATTCCTCTTATACAGATCTCCCCTGCCGGATTTTCTCCCAATGGGTCATACTCCATTTCCGGAACCTCCTCAAGCCGTATCTCATTGTAAACCGCTGGAACACCGACCGTCCCGAGCATACACATCTCGTCCGGGTAACCCAAAGTTGTTCCTCCAAGCGTCTCCGTTAGACCTAAAGTAAACAATCCCAGCAAAATTGATTTTCCTTGAGAATCAAGAAACAAAGTAGAAACCCTAGAATGCCAAAGCATATATATGTACCATAGCCTTGAACGACGAAGCAACAAGAAGTAACTCTCAAGAACTCTTCGATCTCAAGACTCAGTGGTGCTCCTCCAGATACTAGCAACCGAATTCTACCTCCTAATTGGTTTTTAATCTTACATCCAAGTAAGAAAATAAAATCGTGAAATGTTGGCTACATGTAATGATCGAAGTGGAAACAATCCCAAATATGAAACAGAAACCATTCTTTCAACCTTTTTGAAAGCTATGAAGTCAGCCATGGGTGAAGCTTTGCTGTGAGAATATCCACGATTCATCCACGCAAGTTTGCTGCATCATCAGTATAATTACAAGGGTAGTGAAAAGAGAAGAAAAACAAACAGAGGAGACACAAAACAGAAAGATGTCATAAAATAAAATATACTCATTTACCGTAGATATAGATTGCAACATTTGTAAATCAATATGCAGAACTAAACTCATTTAATCAAAAGCTGATATTTTTTTGGTTTTCAGGCAAAAGCTGATATATATGCGTCCCAAATAATGGTAAAGCTTACTATTTATAGAGAGCATAGAAGATGAGTCTTCTTCTTGGGTTAAGCTCCTGAAGAGCTTTCTGAATCCCATCATAAATCCTCTCGAAGACTCTTGGAACTCCCGCAAGAAAAGTCGGTTTCAGTTCTTGAATATCATCGTGTAACGCATTCAAATCCTAACGCATACAAAAAACACATCAATTTTTTAATTAGTTTTCTTTCCATAATTTGATAAATGATAGTATTATGAATCTTAAGAGCTCTATATATATATTAATATATATATACTCCATGGTAATAGCCAACGGAAGCGCCTTTACGGAAGAAATATTCCTCATTTGCACGGTCGAGGATATGAGCCAACGGCAGAAACGAGAGATACACATCTTCATGTGTCATCTGATCATACAACGTACGTATAGACGCCCAAGCGAAAACAGAGTATTAGTCGAAACTCGAAAGGAAAGGACATCGTTTAGTGTTAATCTCTTATTTATCAAACATAAGTGAAAATTTATATTTTCCTAACGTATCGTTAGAATGATTTTAATAACTTTTTATGTTCATTGAAATGGCTACTATGTATATAATCTTGTAGTTTCTAAGGTTTCCTTAAAATTGATTGAGAGCCACCTTGTCCTCGAACTGGTCCAAGCAGAGATCCACCCCAATGACGCAAGTCGCGGCCGCTTCGTGGGTCAAAAGCACACCTTTAGGTTCACCGCTTGTGCCGCTCGTGTACATTATGGTGCACACGTCAGACGGTTTAGGCGGGTTTGTCTCTTTCGGCTTCTCTTGTCCCTGGTCAAATAGTCAACATAATATATTTAACATTGTTATTATGGCCACCTAATTCATTTAATTCTATGCGTCTAAACTCTAAAGCAATGTATAATTCATTTAATTCTATTCGTCAAGTTGGTTTGGCATGTGCGTGTCATTTAATACCTCAGAGAATAGTCTGATTTTATACTATAGAATTGTAGTCGCGTAAAAATAAAATTATGTTAGAAGGATGTAGAAGAGACAAACCATATGGAGAAAATCGAGCCACGAGTATGCTTTGACTCCAATTTCTAAAGCCTTGTAGCTCTGTTCTTCGCCCACATTAGTGAAAGAAACTATAGCTTTTAGACGTTTTGCACCTTTGCAATCTGGCTCAAGAAGCTAAATTTTGAACAGCATATATACAAAAAAAAAAAGTTCACGTCAGCAAACATCTTTCAAATGTATAGATTAGTTGATGAAAATTAATCTCAACGATCTTAACTCCTCTAATTTTGGTGTTCTGGACGAACACAAAATCGATTTCCGCGTGATCAACGATATAATCGACTGCTCCTGGACCTAAAGAACATCGGATGTAAACAATTCCTTTGAGTCGGTGTCCTTGAGTTTTTGTGTCACTAGTGTATGCATGGTCACAAGAAAATAAAATTTACTTACCCAATGTATCATATAGAGGTACACAGATTAGAGTGTGAGCTGCACAAGCCTAAATATTTACAAATATATGTATATATTTTTTGTTAGATTTATAAGAAACGCGTGGATAAGTCATAGAAAGATTTATTAAAAATGAGATGGACCTCCATTGCTATGATCCACTGAGGACAATTAGCTCCATAGATCCCCACTCGACACCCCTACATATATACACTGACCATTTCATTTCGGTAAAAAGTTATAATTATGAGATGATTATGCGGAAATGTATATATAATATATATAAAAAATTTACAGGTTCAGCTCCGACGGCCCGTAGCGCTGAGCCGATCAAGAGAACTTCTTCGTATATATCCTTGTACGTTTTCCACATATACGGTCCAACCTAAACCGATCCATACAAATATAGAAATAAAACAATATGTGCATAGAGTTTTAATCAATAACCAGAAGTCCAACATACATCATATAGATTAATGTTGTTGTTTTACCAATTCGATAGAATGCATATTGTTGATAAAGAAGTTAAAATATATGTTCTCTATATTTTTAGTATGAAAATTTCAAGAAATTCACCTTCTCATCCACAATTTGACGCCATCCAAGCATCTTGTTATCAGGAAATTTCTCCACAGATTTACTAACAAAATCCAAAAGATATTAATTGATTAACAATAATTATACAAAACTAAAATTAAAGGGATATCATATAAGAAAATTAAACCTCAAAATATAATTAACAATTTATATACCTGAAAATGTCCCAAGTAGTGGTGATATCAGAATCTCGAGGAGGAAAACCTTTCTCCGACAAAAGATTCCGGTACACCGGGCCTACCGATGGCTTTCCATCTTCCCCTTTAACTCCTTCTTCCACCTTTGCCGCGAAACACTTCATTTTCACTTTCTCTCTTATTTTTTCCTTTGAAGGATGACTGAACATATATATTAATTGCATATTTTGTAATGATATATTAGTGAAAATAGGTAATCGTATAGTTAGATTATTAAATAAAATCGTTTTAAAATGAAGATATATTGAAGTTTCATTAGTTGATCAGCGACAGCTCTCTGGTTACGTATTCCGTACTTTAATTTAGTTATACATAAATTACGTTATGTTATAATTTTATAACAGAAATGAGAATGACATTAATTGACTCCATTTCGATCACTCAGATGTAGTTTCTAGCTTTTCCTAAGGTTTGAATCAGAATTTAACAGTGGCAATATCATATATACAAGCTA